TAGACATATTCCTTTACAACTTCCAGCGTCTCTCTCCCTATCGCAAAGCATTTTTTTGCCGAGACTGCTGCATGTTACTTTAGTTTTGTCCATTTCAATTTTAAGACTTGCTCTTCTGCTGTCCGTGTCGAGTTCAGTAATCATGAACCGCATTTCGTCCCCTGAGTTACTTATCAAGGCAATGTCATCAGCAAATCGCAGGTAACTAAGATACTCTCCATTACTTCTTATCCCCAACTTTCCCTAATCTACAGGACCATAAAAACATTCTGTAACACGTGGTGAATAACATTGGAGATATCGTGTCTGCCTGACTTAGCTCCTTATTGATTGGGAGTCTGTCACCTTCTGTATTGAGAACCATGGTGGCTGAGTCCCACTGTACATTTCTTCCAGTATGTTTATGTAGGGTTTATTGTTGACCAATACCGTAGTGCCTGCATCGCTGCTAATATGTCGACTGAGTCAAACGCCTTCGCATAATCTATGAAGGCTATGTATAGGGGTTCGTTGTATTCCGGGCATTTTATCACCCGATTGATAGTATGAATATGGTCTATTGGGGAGCAGCTTGTACGAAATCCTGCTTGATCGTTTGGTTGATTTAACTCTAATATCGCCCAAATTTTATTAACTAATATTTTTAATAGTTTGGGCTGAGAATCGGTTTACAGTTCAGAGTATTTAGTACTCTACTATGGGAGAGCTATAAGCCGTGTAGAGAATAAACATAAGCTGATCGGCGTGCAGTTTTTTAAATTAATGAAGCCTTATTTCTTGAGGATTAATATTAGGGTGGCGTTCTTCCAAGATCCTGGTACCTTTCCCGTCAAAAGATATTTCGTATGTGTGGTTGCCAGTTTTTCTAACACGACTCCTCCGGCAACCTTCAACCGGTCCGTTGTTGAGTTATTCTCACCAGAGGCTTTGCCTCTTTGCATTCCTTCTAGAACTTTATTTACTTCCCCGGTCGTTACTGGTAGCATGTCGAATTATTCTAGACTATCATTCCTTCTTACGCTATCATCCTGGTTGTTCGGCTTCCGTGAAGCTCTCTGCAGAACTCCTCCGCCACCTCAACTATCCTATCCATATGGGTCATGGCATTCCCTTGCTTGTATTTTAATGTATACAGGCAATCTTGCATAATGCCTACAGCTTTTGGGCTTCTGCCGCTTTTTGCAGCCTACTCAATTCTCGCTATGTTAACACTTCTGATGTCGGCTACATTATACGCCTACTGATTAAGTTTGAAAGCTCCGCTATCTAAACTTTGTCTGTTGCGTTTATTGATTTATTGGTGGGTCGCCTCTTAATGAGCGTTTTCGTCTTGTGAGGTAGTTTGCCAGAGTCCTATCTAGTGACTATACCTCCGACTTCAATTGCACACTCTTTCATGATACAAGTAAGATCATCGTTCATTGTGTCAACACTAATTTGGGTTACCTCGTTCACAGACTCGAATCTATTTTGAAGCAAAACTCATTTCTGTACTTTCCCTCTCACCGCTAGTTGATTATAGAGCTTGTTGCGTACTAGTGTTTGTCTTTGTTTTTTTAAATTTACGTGAATACGAGTTCTCAGCATTCTATGGTCTCTGAAACGGATCTTGCCACCTACTTCTACATACTGTAAAATGTCTAGGTGTGCACACACAATGAAGTATATTTCATTATTAGTTTCACCATTAGGGCTTCACCACGTCCACTTATGGTTAGCGTGCAGGTTTTGTGAAGAATATAATCAATATCTGTAAGTTATCACATTCTGCGAACTCTACTCTAATATCTCCGCTATGGCATTTATAGAGTCGATGTCATATTTCCTCACTGCTAATCACCGGCTTCTTTTTTTCCTATTTTGACAATAAAATTGCCCATCAAAATAGTATACTGTGTCTTTATTTATGGCAGACTCTACGTCTTCAAACAAGAGCTCAACCAAATGATCCTCATGGCTCGACGTAGGCGCGTGGGCCTGTATCACCTTGGCCTTGCACCCTTACTTAAACATAATTATGATACTTGCCACCCTCTAACTGATGCTAAATTATTCCTCCATGTTGCTAGTGATATTTTTGCGTGTAAGAAATGCTACCCCGGGTTTGTTTCCGTCAACTAATCTACGGGAGCATAAAACCTGCCCATTGTTCCGCACTGCGTAAGCCTCAGTTGTAGTTTTAGCTTCGCTGAGCCCTATTACATCCCATTTAACACCCTCTAATTCCTGGAATATCGCATCTAGACTAGCCCCACTAGATTGAAGTCTATAGCGTAATAGTCAAGTTCGAATTAAAATTGCAGCCTTTCCGGACCATCCGCTGCATCGCAGGTCTGACCACCACCTTGGATAGTTGCTTCGCAGCTGCTGCAGATTTAAGGCCAATGGGTGATTGGTACTTTTATAAAGGAGGTATTGGCTAAATACTGCACCATGGCTGACAATCCTGTTCTGGTGAGGAGGTGTATTACAAGCAGGTGGCCACCAGTGAGGCAGCATCTCAGACCTTTTTTGTTTGTTTTTAACGATTCCTTTATCCCGCATGTTAAGCAAAAATATACAAGTGCTAATGGGCTGGCAAATAATTTCGAATCGAATTTGTTATTACATTGTAGGGTGGTTCGCCATCTCAAGTAGAGTTCTGTTGCACTTTCTCAGCACTGTAGAATTCCACCAGCTCTTAACTTCGTATGACTCTAGCTCGCCTGGCTTTCTCTAAACTGTTCGATAAACCGCCTGAAAGTCCAAAAATAAACAAAATACTCCAACTGTTACTCTCTAACTGAGCCACATTCATTTAACCAGCACTGCGCCAACAATCGTGGCCGAAACCACCAACTTGGTCTTACCCAAAATGTTTCATTTGTGTCGTAGTTACTTTGTTATCGTGCTTACGTTACAGAATCAGGTTTTCTAGGGCGTGTTGGTACTTACTGAAGGACATGATGTTCAATGACAAAACTCGATCATGAGGCTGACTTTCCTACAGCTTGGCAGTGTGGCAGCTTGGGCTAGTTGTTATGACATGACGATAGTTATAGCGCGAAAACAAAACGACGACACAGAGACAGGAAGGACACGAAAGAGACGAGCGCTCGTGTCTTTCGTGTCCTTCTTGTCTATGTGTCGTCGTTTTATTCTCGCTCTATAACTATCGTCATACAGCTTGGCGCTACAGTATCATGTCCTCTGTTTGCTCCAACATCGAATATTTGAAATAAAATAGACAGGAAATAAATGTATTGGGCACCCATCTATTCCTAAAGAAGAAGGAGTGGTCCAAAACTGCATGGCGTAAAACGAACTAGAACACTTATCAATGCTTTCAGTAGATACCACGAAGAACAAAACCCCGATGACCGTCCTGAATAGTGCGCCCTTTGCCAAAAAAAAAACAAAAACAAATCGCTTGTCTTGCAAGTCTAGTAATCGCCATTACGCCCTTTAGACTAAACAGAGCACCCGCTAAAGCATGAGAATTGTGTTATTTTATAGTAAAATTGCTATATCGAATATTAAAATCGTTTTACATGAATTTCACGAGCTAATTCATACCCAAATGAAGTATTTCAATTTATATGAACCAAATTCAAGCTTCACTCCTCAATACTGACGAAATAGGATCATGTATATTCTAGCTACAATATAGATTTGTGGTACTTATAAAAGAGGAACACACTGGCATAAAGGTGTTTAGGTGGCCCGACCGTATTGCCAGTAGCAAAAAAAGTGTTTCTCTCACTTTCAGTACATGTACATTTAACTCTTTAAAAAAATCCTCAAAAATACCGAAGCATTAATACAAGCTTACTGAATGAAGGGGTACGTTGTTTCAGTGTTAGCGAGGTGTTGTCAGAATTAGGGACGCATAATATTTTTACTTTTACTCATGTTTAAATACATTTACTATGTGCTGCGCCGAGCTTCACTTCAGATAGTACCTCATTCATTGCTCTTAGAGCTTCAGATTTTTGCTCCAGGTCATCTAAGCCTTTTCGTACGACGACAGTTTTTTGTCTTTGTGGTCTTTTGGCCACTCTTATATCACTATATGTCAGCAGTGAATTCGTTCTTGACTTTGAATTTTGTAACTCAAAGGAAAATAAGTGTACTCGGATGAGTTCTCACGCCAGTATTCAATATATAAAAAATTCCTGAGGGAGTTCTGAGTGGCACAACAACTCAATTTCATAAAACGTTTGTACAAACGAGAACACTTCAGTAAGCCATCACCTGATTTTTCACAAAATAGCGGTAATGGTTTAAACCCGCCGCTTGTTGAACAGTATAGATAAGTAAACGTCGGCGTGGTGGTGTTCCCATGCCCATTGACGGAAGGTAGGTGGAAGCAGCAGCTTAAATTATTCGCCAGTTGTGATGTCAGTGTTGATTCAGCTTGCCGTTGGTAGTCGATAGCAGAAGAAATTTAAGCCGGGGAATGCACATGCCCGGAGTTGATCACGACCGAAATCACTATAGACACTATCGGCGAAGCAGGTATGATTATCAGGCTGTCAAAGGAACCATTGACCATAAAAGGAGGAGTAAAGCCTGCATGTTGAACAGTACAATGTGAAGCGTTGACGTGGTGTGCTGATCCAGTGTTCACCTTTGAAGGGTCTTTCATGAAATTATGATATGGTGATGTAGAACATTCTTTTAAATGGTATGACGAGTATGACATGCCTTGCTATTCGAACACATGGCTGCGCCATAGAAAATGAAAGGATTACCTAAAGACCATGTATCTGGGGTGGTTATTTCACTGCTAATTTGGGCAACGTTTTTTCACTGATACCGATGTTTCAGTGAGGAGTGCTTCAATGTAGATAGAAGCATAGAAACACTGTAGCCGGCAAAGTAGAATACAATAAGATTCACGAAAAATGCACCACAACTTTTTACTTTGTCTGCGCTTTTCACCAGGTTCAACGTAAACTGGATTGCATGCCTGCAGCGTGAAATCGTCGTGCATTCAATGTGTTGTTTTACAGGCGAGTACGCCCGAATGCTCTTGTTTCGAGCATAGAGGCAATGACGTATGAAGATGACAAATATAACATTAACGTAGTATCTTGCAATAAAACGGTAAGTAACAGGATTCTAAACGTGTGCGTTCATATGGATGATATGCAATATTTATCAGCAGGTGACATAAAGATCGCATATTTAGGTCAGTAACACGGCAATAATAAACTGTTTATAGAATCTTTTGTAGATACCTTCATAACTATAGTAAAAACGCATGACACGTATTTTTATGGTGTTGGATTATATTAGTTGAGTTCAACACAGAGGCATAGGCAGAAATATTTTCGCGGAGGGGCGAGGTGCTTAGTGATTAGGCGTGAGTGCTCGGCAGGCAGATGTGACCGAGTGCCAATTTGTTCCCTGTACTATATTCCAAAAAAAGTTTAGAAGGACAGGGGTAAGTCTCGGGCCTCGTTTGCCACTATACCTACGCACACAGGTCCAATCACGCTACGCTTTTGCCTTTAGTGCGCGAAATTGTGGTGGAGTGCGTAATACAGAATTCTCCGGGCAGAAAGCTGATATTGTTGGGGGGCGTTAGTGATCAAAGACTGTAGGCATAAGAATACTTACTAATACCTGAAAGAGCGCACAATGACGGAAAAGGAATCAGTGGCAAATATTTACTGTTGCCTGTTAAGACAAGTAGAATGCGTGCGTATCATTCACGGGCACGTGTAGGCCTACGTGAGAAGTGACTGTTCAGACGTGAAAGGTTTCATTTTTTTGCCGTTTGAGAAGCGTCTGGCCTGCGCATGCACTATCACTACTTTAAACAAGACATGCTTCAAGTGTAAAACGAAATCTTTAATTCATGTGCCTTTCTCATTTTTCCATGCATGTATATCCTATAAAATGTGAAGATAGGTTAAAAAGTATGCCTCTAGCTGCCTACCATTTACGTTTACTTAATGTGTTGTGAGCCCATCCGTCTCCCCACCATATCTGTAAATGGCTGCACCTAAAGAAAATTTTATAAACCATGACCTATACGGTGATCAGTGAAGCTGTCGTCACGCCTTTTTACAATATGTTAGTTCATATTTTAGCAATTACCAGCTGATACCAGCTGATTCTTTCCCAGCAGTGCCCCGCAAATCTTCCCTCATTTATTCGCATCGGTAAAGACAACGTTAACGACATATTAATTTCGCACTTTGTAGTCTTTGAGATCAAAGTTTAATGCATGAAATACCTTTCGAGAAGGTTACTGCTACTTTCTCCAACGATGCTCGTATTTCAAAAAAACCTAGATCTTTCAACGTTCAGTGACAACTGCTACGCGAAAAGAATTTGAACTTAATAGACACGTTACGTGTGCGCCATCCTCGCGCTGGTTTTGGGCACAGATATACAAGACCCAGATAACATTCAAGGCATGGCACATTGCTAGTTATCTGCATAACTACTTAGCTTCACTTAGCTTTCAGACTCTTTCTGTGCGCGTAATCCTCAGGTGCTAGTTTAGTCTCTCTCGCAGAACTTCGGTGTTAGCACGCTTTTTGATGACATTTACTACTTCTTGCCTCAGGAAAGGTTGCTGAAAATTGCTAAAGTGGGTACTACTCAACACGTCCGCCAAATGGTTTTCACCAATAAGTCGGCCTTTCTATATTGCTTCATAAGCTTACGAATTAAACAATGGCTGCATGGTTAGAAAGAAGGCGTTATTGTCGAGAAATCAGAAATTTGCATTGGTTCTAAGGTTGCTCCAATTCTTATGGATTTTAAAATTGACAAAACTGGAAGACGTTTAGAGAATGCATTAGGTTAACGTTTCAGCCAATTTATTTCGTGACGTGTATGAACACGTGATTTTTAAGTGCCAAGAACCTTGGTAACTCGGGCCTTCATATACATGTATATGCTGTCATTGTCGTTGCACCGCTATAGGAGCGAAGCAACCAAAACCATTTCTAGATTAACCATCAAGAGAATAGCCATGTACCGCAAAAGAGCGTGAAAGAAAAGGGAAGTTGAGGAAAAAAATGTGTAAAGGGGAGGATAGAGAGAAAGGAGGAAGGAAGGAGAAGGAAAATTGGGAGTAGGCTGGCACCGTGTGCTGCCATCTCAAGTCACTGCTTGGCACCACGCAGGAAAAAAATTATAGCGTAGCCAGCAATAGGAATGAAAAAGGGAGTGAAAGTAATAAGGATTGGAAAAAGCAAGAAACAGGGTAATTTTGCGGACTCGTCTTTTTTGTTAGAAACAATATTAACCACAAATAGTAAACAATAATAACAAAGAAAACATAAGAGATTCTATTTGTAGTAAGTATGACGTGAATGTGAAAAAGTAAAGTAGAAAGAGTACACTAGTTGCCACTGATAGGAGCCAAACTTGGGCGCTTCAGACTACACATCTGATGTTCTAACAATTTAGCTACGGCGGAGGTCATTACATGTCAGCCTTCCTGAATACATATGATTGATTGATATGTGGGGTTTAACGTCCCAAAACCACCATTTGATTATGAGAGACGCCGTAGTGGAGGGCTCCGGAAATTTCGACCACCTGGGGTTCTTTAACGTGTGCCCAAATCTGAGCACACGGGCCTACAACATTTCCGCCTCCATCGGAAATGCAGCCGCCGCAGCCGGGATTCGAACCCGCGACCTGCGGGTCAGCAGCCGAGTACCTTAGCCACTAGACCACCGCGGCGGGGCCTCAATACATATGTGCATTTGCCCCTAACAAAGAAAAGCTAGTCCTTCAAATTCTCCTTCTTTCCTTCAATTGAATATAGGGTCTCGTTCTGGCGGGTTTAATGCCTTCAGGGAGTATACTAGGGATTATAGGTCAGCTGCTGGCTTATAAAAAAATCACGAGCTGAGGGACACCAGCAGGCAGAAAAAAAAATACCGATATATAGGTCCCAGGAATCGGTATATCACGAAAGCGGATCATGCCTCACCGCGGTGATCTAGAGGCTAAGGTACTTAGCTGCCTACCCGAAGATCGGGGGATCAATTCCAAGCTGCGGCGGCTGCACTTTCGATGGAGATGAAGATGCTGTAGGACCATGTGCTTAAATTCAAGTGCACTATAAATTGACACTTAAGTCCAATAACAATTTACGTCAGAGTGAAAGCTTAATGTAAGATAAGATCTAAAATGACAATACTATCAACAACGGTGCCCTACTTACCGAGAAATATAAAGTAAATCATCAAGTACAAGAGCGCCGCAGTAGGACATGTACAAAAGGATCCCGATGACTTCAGAAGGACCATTTACAATTAGTCACTAGTAATCGATTTAACTGCACTAAGTATATAACCTTGCATACATTAGGAGACGAGATAAATGCTGCTTAATTGTTCGTTTCTGTTTGATTCGTGAAAAAAAAAAGTAGCGCCAGACATTACTATGGAGAATGGCACGAGTGGTTCAAGAATTCAATTTTTGCGTGGTTACACGGGACAGGTGGTGCCACTTAGTGGGATGCCGTTGAAACAAAAAACGTCAGCAATCTCGAAGCCAATGGCGGGAAAATGTTCAATGGTTGTTGTTGCTGCTGTGGCTCCCGCTGCTTTTGGTCTGCTGCAACTAGCGCGGTAAAGCCGGGCCACGTTGTGCACGGCAACAGAGACGTTGATTGGTCCGGCAGGTACGCTTCTCGAGGCGAATAAGTCGAAGTGCGCTTACTCGATGCGGACAACTAAAACGTGATTTTAGTTCAAAATAGGCCCTTCCTTGGCATAAACATAACACTAGGAGTTTTCTGAATTGCTATATCAACAATCAACGTCGACCTAATAGTTGCCTTCGGTGACTTTTAATGAACCCCAGGTGGTGAAAATTTCCGGAGTTGTCCTCTACGGCGTCTCTCATAATCATATGAGGGTTTTGAAAGGCTAAAACCCACATATAAACGAAATTCAAACATGACAAAAACGAGCCCATGAGCCCCTCTTTCCTGCATTCCTAGCGTGTGTCTTATTATGACGGACTTAGTAGAAATATATAAGCGCTCGAGTTAGAAGGAAGCACTTGATAGCAAAGACGCCCAACACGCAGCTGCAGATTTAGTAGAAAAATTCATTGCACACTATGAGGGTGAACGAAAGCGCGTGTATCAGTGTTATCTTGGTTGCGGTAAATGATGAAGTGTGCTGTTTAAGTAGCTGAAGGAAAAAAAAACATAATTTGGTTGGGGTTTGTTCTGTTTTTGCGGGGTGACTTTTGTGGTGATGGTTGCTTGCACGTGCGCCTTCTGGTGTTCTATTAAAATGAACTTTTCTAACAATTTATGCGATTGTAATTTTGGCGTCTTTCCTGTTAGGTCCTTCTTTAACATATACCTTGTGCGCTCATATATTTCTACATTATGTTGCACCAACTTGCCCGCATATTACTATTTTGACTTTAGACAGTATGCGCAGAATTATTGGTTAGCTGCCGGCTTTTACAAAAATCACAAGATACTTGACATCAGCTGCCAGAAAAGTGTGTTCCACACTCACCAATATCACTTCAACCGGCTCTGAGGAACACTCCCAGATTAAAATGCGTGATATGCACAAGGAACTGTACTGCATGATGAAGACCACCGTAGTTGAGTTAGTCGAGCATCGGACGCGTAATTAGGAAGATTGGAGGTCCTAGCTCGGCAGGCAGCTGATTATCATTTTTTCCACCTTAAGTTCTTTAAGTTTATATCAAAATTATTGGAATGCCGTACTCTAATGAAACTAGAATAATTTAAACACTTTTCTCAGAAAGTATCCCCTAGCATGTGGATTTTTACCGAGCAGACAGTTGATTAATAAGCCCTCGCATACTGCCTGAAGGTATCAAATCTGCCAAAATGAGACCCTTGCTATGAATGATTGAAGGAAGACTAGGTTGTGCCCTCTTTTCTTTGTTTAAGACAACGTTTATAAGAACAAGCAGGAAATTACCCCAAGGAAAATGCGAGGAACGTGAATTACACTTTTTAGGTGTGCTGCAGTAATATTGATGTACACACACGTGAAGAAAGTAACTTGAACAAAAAAGACAGCTTGCCGCTGACTGAAACTGGAAGCTTTGAATCAAGCGTCCGATGCTTTCAC